CAGCGTTACGTGGGGCCGGGGGAGATGCGCCGGGCCCCGGCCCCCCCGCCCCCGGCCCGGCCCCCGCCCCTCCCCGGCCCTCCGCCCCCGGCCCGGCCCGCATTGTGTGCGGCGGGAGGCGGCCCGGCCATTAGCATGCGGGGGGCGGCGCGGCGGGCTGCGCGCTCGGGCTCCGGGGCCGGGGGACCCCCCGGAGCGGCGAGAGTCGGCCGCCAGGGGGTGCGGGCCTTTGGGGTCCGGGGGCGTCGCGCGAAGAGGAGGGGGCGGGGGTGGGGCGCGCAGACCGTTCCTCGAGGGGACTGGAGGAGATTGTGAAAGGTCATCTTGTCCTTCCCCCAGCCTCCAAGCAGGCTGCCCCTCCCACCCTAGACCCGGACATACCAGGGAAGGAGTTGGCTCTGCCGCTGCTTCTGCCCCAACATGCACAGGCTCGGGAAGTTCTTCCTGGGGTTTTATCTCAAAGCCTCTCCCTTACAATTTGTCTCTCTTTTGGGAGAGGAGGAGGGGCGATTATAGAGATAGTTAATGTCTGCCGTACAAGAAACATTATTAAAGTTACTCTTCCGCCTTTGCCGTTCTTGATAAACACTTCTCGCTCCTGCTTCACGAATTCTATTTTTCCATTCTTTGGGACGCTTTAATGGCTCTTCAATACAACAATATTTACTGAGTGCTTACCAAGCACCCGGCGCTGTGCTCAACACTAGGGGGGATGCAGAGAGGAGGGGGGATGTGATACTTTCTCCCGACGCGATTATAGCCCAAACGGTAGCTGCACACTCCTAAGTGGCATACTCAGATTTAGTCAATATTTACTCGATGCTTGTTCAAGTATTAAGCAGCATGAGATCCTTCCAGTAATCCTCCCATTTACAGGTAAGAAAAAGGAGGCCCGAGGTCTCTCCTTCCACTGACCGGGGATGAGACTCTCATCCCAAGGCCTACATCTCAAACCTTGCCATTAAATAAAGTCAACTCTCGCTTAGTGATTGAAAAGAGAGGAACCCGGCACAAACAGCCGCCTGGTCCCCTTTAAACTGCAATTCCCCGTGCCCAGGAAGTCAGCAAGGATACAGTGCTCCAGTGATGTTGGCTCAGCAGTGAGTAGGGCAGAAGTGGCTCATGAGGAAAGCCACTTTTCTTCCCTTTCTCCTGGGCCCCAGGGACCTTCTGGCTCCGTTTCGTTAATTTTTGGTGGTTATATATAATAATGGCAACCTCGTTGTGTGGTATGTGCTGGGCCAAGCTAATTCGCATGCATTTTCTCTTCGCGCTCAAGGCAACCCCTTGAGACTGATATTGTTAATTTCCCTTTATAGAGAAGGAGACGGGTTAAGCAACTCGAGGTCAGCCAGATTCGGGGGCACAAGTACAGGTGGCATCATCTCCAGGCCTCAGGTGCTACCCTGTATTTGACCTGTAAAGTCTGCATTCGGGCAGGCTGGTTCTCTTTCTTAAGTGTGGAAATAAGCGTTCTCACCTTAGCTTCTGAGTCAGCCCTGTGGTCAGTGGACAGCGAGCACATCTGTCCATACACCTTTCTCAGCGCCATTAATGGTGCTCCACTCAGAATGGAATCAGGCACCCTTCAGGGGCACATTGTTGTTAGCTAGTTCTGCTTATCTGGCAATAAAGCAGAGCTCAGATAGGTAAAATAATGTCCATAATAATGTAGCCAAGGTCACCAAACTGGGAAAGCAACAGAACGGAGACCCTTTTCTCTCAAAAACACTGTTGGTTATAGTATCCTTTTCAAGACTGAACATTTGTGCCACCTTAGAAGAGGAGGAGGAAGACACTGCCCAGAAAAGCCAGAGGAATGCAAACTGGTCTGGAAACAGGGTTCTGGTGGAGCAATCCGAGCAGAAACATAGTAACACAGAATCTCACTAGGGGCAGAACAAGTAATTTGAGGAGGGAGCCACAGAACAAAGACTGAATGGAAATTAGGGGAGATTGAGGTCCAGGGTGATTTTGTCCATGGGGAAGAAGTAAGTGAACCCTGAAGATGGGTAGAAATATAGGGCGACAGGAAGTGGAAATACTGAGGCAAGCCCGGTAGCTTGTGGAGTGAACTGAGGCTGATGTCTGCGTAAGGCCACTCCCTGGATCTTTAGGTCCTCATATTGACCTTTGCCCCACCACACCTCAGCTCTCACAGACTATGTGCCAGGAAAAGATTGTCTGCTCTGAGCTAGCAGGCCCCTAAGGGGTACTGTGTCCCGGCTGCTTCAGACTAGGTAGGTGTAAAATTCTGGGTCTCAGCCCTTTAGTGGGAGTGAGCAGAGGGGTAAATGAAAGAGATGTTGTGTTTTCCCGTTTCCTGAAAGGTCCCATAATGAACTTTTCCAATCCAGGAAGCAACGCGCTTAGAGTCAAGGGAACAATGGATCAAAATGGTCATCAGCCAAGACAGGAGAGACCCAGCGTTCGCCTGGAAAAGTTGCAGCACTGGGCAAGACGCAGGCAGAGTGGACACCTGCTGGTGCTGGCGGTGAGGCCGGTTGCCCCCCCCCTCCAGGTTTTGGCTGACTGTATGTAGTTCAGTTCCACCCGTGTTCAGTGTGCCTACACCATGTGCCGGGAACTGTGCTGGGGTTGGGGTGGGGAGAAGAAATGCAGAAATTAACAAAGCAAAACCCATTTCCAACTAGCTTGCCTCCACCTCTGGGGAAAACACAAAGGTACGTAAACTGTAAAATTAGGCAGAGCGGGAAAAATGGCATCTGATTTGTAACTCTTTTAACTGTCCTAGGATGACTACTTTCCTCCGACTTGCATTTATCCCCATTACTGACATCTAAAAGGTGAAAACAGTGTGGAGAGAGAATCTCTGGTAGGCCCCTCTAACTACCGCTCTCTGGCCTCCAGGTGAGCCAACTGTGGCTGGCAATAGTCATGGTACCCTTTACTATCTCCCTTGCGTGCTTGAAGTCGGCTTGTCAAATGGCCACAGCAATGCCACTTTGGTCTGGAGCCTCGGTAAGTCCCACCACGAGGGACGATTAGAGGAAGGTCCCAGGGACCTCTCTCTGACAAAACTAGAGTTTACAATTTGCCCTTCTCGACATTTAGGGTCTCCTCACTGGGCTTATCACCCTCGAGCTTCGAAGAGCACCTCGTATCTGGAAGGTGAGAGAAGGGAATATAGGCCTGGCCTCCCACTTCTCTCTCTCTCTCTCTCTCTCTCTCTCTCTCACACACACACACACACACACACACCTCAACCCAAAAAGCCATTTATCCTCTCAAGCTGTTTGTCACTGACTGAAGCAAGAAAGTGAGAATGTTAGAAGGCTTAATGGATCTTGTTTGAAAGTTGGGAAACAGGGAGAATTTTGTTATTTTGTTTGTTCCTTTGGTGTGTGTGCAATGCTGGGTATTGAAGCCAAACCCACATGCACAATAGGCAAACACTACCCCTGACCTACAACCCCAGATTTTCTCCCACTAAGTTACTCAGGATGGTCTTCTATACCCCAGTCAGGCCTTGAACTTTGATCCTCCTGCCTCAGCCCCCCAAGTGTCAGGGATTACAGGCCTACACCACCAGTCCTGCGTCTGAGCTTTGTTTTCAGCTAGGCTGTAGGAGGAGTGTGAGCTTGGAATGAGTCCCTTGGGCTGGTCAGGGCTGAGCTGGCTCACCGGTAGGTGCGGGCCATGATGATATCCAACACACTCAACCTGCTCTTGGGATTCATTGTGGTGGTGACAGAGGTGATGAAGACAGCCTTGGGGCCTGCCTCGACTGACCCCTCCCAGGTACTGGTGAAGAAGGACAAAGGTTCCAGGGAGGAGAAAGGGCAGAAGAAAATAGGGACTGTGCCCATGAACGCATCCTCACCCTGCTACCTGCAGTTGACAGGGTTGCTGGTGCTAGAGCTCAGTGCTGAGGCCTTCACCCTAGCGGCAGTGCTGGTCTCAACATACGCCCTGTTCTTGCTGAGCCAGAGAAAGCCGGGATGCTTCAAGAAATCAAGTCTGAACTACCAGGAGCTACAGGAGGTAGGGCATGCAGGGAGGAAAACGAGGCAGCTAGCTTCCAGCTAATTTTTCTTCTGGCTGTCCTAGTCTGTGCCACTTAAGGGCAAATAGTGGGGCAGTAGGGAAAGGAAGAGTTGAAACTGATTGGCTTTCTTGGAATCCCTCACGATGATTGGGAAGGGATTGGGTAACTAACGACTGGGACTACACACGTGTGTAAACATTAAAAAGCTGCTGAAAACGTATTATTGGAAAGACTGGAAAAACTGAGAGGGGTTTCCCTTCTACCTGGGGTTCTTTCTTGACCCTACGCTTTGCTCACGTCTGCTTTCAGGGCCTCCCTGAGGTGGAGGAGGTTTCTGGTTTGGAGAACAGTCCCGTGGTGGCTAGCACAGGAAGTAGAACAGATGAGTGAGTGGGCAAGACAGGTGCCACTGTCTCCCTACGCCAAGGGGGGCATTCTCCAG